TCACGGCTGCCAAGACCTTGACCTTCCCGACCTCTCGGGGTCACGGCCAGCCTTTCACAGCCAGGCTGAAGAGAGCAATCGCACGACAGCCTCACGCAACACACACACACACACACACACACACAGCAAAGCTGGCTCTCATTAGTGCGAACGCTGACGGGATTCTCCTGCAGGGAAACACGGGATGTGATTCTGGCAGAGCTGAACTCTGAGAGAAACACTGGATGAGTGATATTTGAGTCGTCAAAATAACAATTACTCAGTACTTCAACACTGTGACAGAAATCCTTGATTTTTGATGTTATAATATAATGTTGCAAATATTACAGTCAATCAAAATCTTGAGTTTTTATAAGCCATAAATTAAAATTTCATTTGTAAGATCCACGAGAACAATTTTCACTTATTTGATTTTAAGATGCTTATAATATACAGTGTATATTATATACTGCTTGCATATTAACTAAAATCACACTAATATCATAATATTGTTACACCAAGCCATGATTTTTGAATTCATAATATAAAAGATTACACTATATTTAATTAAAATATTACTTTTGTGGTTGCTGCTCAATCAATCAAAATATTAAAAATATGAACTTTTAAAAACCATATATTAAAATGTCATTATGAGGACAATTTTCCCTTACTTTTTTAGATTTAAGAAGATAATGAGTAAAACTTATCATACTTACACAAAAGTATGTTATAATAATATAAATGCATTACAGAGTGCATTATATCTTCTTTGTAATTGCAACATTAAAATGCATTACATTTTATTATTTGCAGATTACATCTAAAATTGATTGATTGCCATTTAATGCATTACACTTTCTAAAGTTATGATAATGAATATTATGATGTACGCAACTGTGGTTACAGTTATTCATGGTTTCATACAATGCATTACAAAGGCTTCAAGTAAAGTGTTAAAAGATAAGGATATACAAACATTTTTATTTGATTATATATGTGCTGCTAACACACACATGAATATATGTGCAAATAACTCTCTGTTCCCTGGGCGGCGTAGAATGAAATCTAATCCTGTTTCTGTGAAGATGTTTATTCTCTCCTCGGGAGCAGAAACAGTGGGTTTCTTAAATCCAGGCGGATTGGAACTGATTGCATTTGGCAGCTTCTCCTTCCTCTCTTCTCAGGGAAGAGGTGGTTTGCATCCAGGAAAGTGCTATCAGAAATCAACGCTACTGTCTCTCGGACACTATAACGCTTCAGCGCTGCAATTAGACTCATTAGATCCTGCAAAAATAAACTCCTCCTGGTGAGGAAACAAGGAACATTTATCTCCGGCTTGGCGCTCGGAAGAGAAGCGTTTTACATCAAGAACATTCAGTTCTAGAGCTTGAAGCCTTGATGCAACTGAGTGAACTTCACAAAATAAAGCTGCAAGTGCACAATGAGAGAATATCCAATTCCATTTTCCAGAAAACTTTCATTTGACCCCGCCATACACACATGCACAAAGAGAAACACACAGCAAAGGAAAAACAAAAGCAAATGCAGCCTCTTCATATTATGCCTTTAACAGTATAAGACATATCCGGATATTTAATTTCATGTCCTTTCTCGCTGAATGAAGTGTGTGTCCTGATGCTTTCTGATGGTGGATCTTGCATGTTACGAAGGCATGCTTGCAATTAAACAATCTCTCAATGACTGCATACCCAAAAACACATGTGAAAATTTATCCTGAAATTGTGAGAGGAAAATAGCCGAAAGAGACCCTGGCGCACTTCTCGATGAGCTCAGAGACCCCGGAACATGATGCACAATCTCAAATTATGCTCTTACAGATCATGTATAATCTGTCTTTCTATCCCTCTGCTTCGCATTGTTGACATTTGTACTAAAAAGCAATTGTATTTTGTACTTGGAATAATGAATTATGCTGCAAGGATATTACAGTTTTTTTCGATCGCTAAACGACAGTGAGCACAACTGGAGCTACATGTGCAAAACTCTAACTCCAGTCTGCACTACCAACAGTCCCCTGAGCTAAACAGCTCACATCACCTGCAAAACTGACTCAAAGCAACACAACTCTTAACACACTGCTCAAAACAGGCTCAGTGCAGCAAACACACTGCACAACCCTCACTGAGATAACACACACTGGCACTCAGAACACACTGAGAGGAAAAACACTAGCATCAAACACCAATACAGAAAATACTAACTTTTCATCTTTACAGTTTGAACAATTTCAGTGACTTCATAGAAAGTAATATTTTCTTCAATGAAAAGATTGACATTCTTTCACATGATTTATTTCCATTTTTAGAACATAACAATATTTTAAGGGTAAATGAAAATGAGCAGTTTGCTTCAATAGTCTGTACTGTAATTTACGAAATTACAGTAATGAGAAAAAAGGTAGAAACTAAAAGTACATACTGTGATTCTAACAAATAATTGAGGGGCTAATCCTGCTTCTCTCCAGCATCAGGCCACAGGTGTTCGTCCACATCACATCTAATGTTCTCTCTTGCCATGCACCTGGGGAAGAACCTTCTGGAGTGCCGTATCCATCCCTGGCAGTCATCTGGACTCGTGGCCTCACATCCGGCACGCATGGCTTCCAAAAGAGACATTTGGTCATGTGGGTGGTGATCAAACACTTTCCACCTCCAGGCAGAGAAAAACTCCTCTATTGGGTTGAGGAAGGGTGAATATGCAGGCAGGTACAAAATCATATATCTGTGATGTGCTGCAAACCAATCTGTGACAGCTGCAGAGTGGTGAAAAGCAACGTTATCGCAAACTATGACAAAAACTTGGGGGTTTCTTACTGGCTCCCCTTGTTCTGCTGGCACTAGCTGAGCATAGAGCTCTTCTAGGAAAGCTATAAGCCTTTCTGTGTTGTATGAGCCAATGAGTGGTGTGTTGAGAAGCAAACCATCATTGGCCATTGCAGCACACATGGTGATATTCCCCCCCTTTGGCCTGGAACCTCCACAGTGGCCCTTTGACCTATAACATTCCTTCCTCTATATCTGTGTAAATATTCTATAATTGCAATACAAAATAATTTCCTGTAATGTTTTTATTTATTGTAAGGATGTAACTCTCACCTGTTTGTACGATGGAAAATTCGCATTACAGATGCCACTGTGGATCTTTGCAGATTGGGTTGCACCCTCAACCCTGCCTCTCTCAATGAGAGACCATGGTTCACGACATGGTCTATAAGTGTAGCCCTTATTTCATCTGAAATAACAGCTCTTTGTTGTCTTCTTTGTCTCCCTCCACGAACCCGCCCTCTCCCTGCCACCCTTCTCCCTCCACGAACCCGTCTTCCTTGTTCCATTTCCAAAATTAGTCTTTCTGAGCTCTACATATATATATATATATATATATATATATATATATATATATGTTTGTGTGTGTTCACTAACAAGTCTAAAACAAGACACCTGCTTAGCCTTTCAGCTGAAATTGCACTCAGTAGTGTTTGAAAGGCACAAAGCTGAAATCTATTCTGTTTTGAATGTATGGTTCACAGTTTTGACAGCAGTGTGTTAGCATTTGAACAAAGTGCTGTAAATCCACAGTGTTGTGCAGGTTGTGGTTAAAGTCATGGGATAAGTGTGTAGAGTTTTGAAAACTGTGTTCAAGCACTGAAAAACGAACTTGAGTTTGGTCCACATGAACTGCTGCTGTGCAGACTGGAGTTAGAGTTTTGCACATGTAGCTCCAGTTGTGCTCACTGTCGTTTAGCAATCGAAAAAAACTGTAAACGATTTATTATAATTTTGTGTGCGATTGTGCATCATGGAATCAATATCATCTACTGCAATACATTTTTGGGCAACACTTTATTTAAAACCTTTACTTAAAATGCATTATAAAGGTATTTGATGCATTATAAGACATAAATGTGACCAAAGTTCAAATGCATTATATTATTAGCATATTCCTTGTTACATCTGAAATTGGTTGTTTCTAAAGGTTGTTCAATGAACAGATAAGAATTATAATGTATTATAACTGTGCATGAGATCATATGATGCATTATAAGGTGCATTAAAATACTTTTATAATGCATATGCATTATATATATAAATGTTTAAGTGAAGTGTCACCCAATCTGTACATTAAATTGTCCATATATTGTTTATTATGCTATAATTACTGACATTTATATTTATTATATATAATATGGTATAACGGTTACGGACCTAAAGACATTTATAATATAAAGGCACGCACGCACACACACACACACACACCAGGGATAACCTGGAATTTCACTGTCTTGTGATAACTCCTTACATGCATGCATACTTTTCCATTTTCAGGGTTTCTGTAGAGTGTGTCTGCAAAACAGAGCACACAGGCTATTTATTATGAAACATTCCCCAACACAGAAGTCTGAAGTCTGTGATGCCGTCGGTGATCACATCCAGCTTAAAATAACATTTTCGTAATCCTGTGCAAACCAGAGCAGAAATAACGATTACAGCTTCAGCGCGCGACGACCAGAAACCAGAGCGCGCGCGCGCGTCAAATAAGGAGATGCAAAGAGTTCAGATGCGCAGTAACACTAAACTATCGCATCACTTATTTGAGTTGAATTGACAACTGCAACTACAATACGGCGATTGGCACAAACCATAAAAAAGTTTTGCACAGTGAAGTTCTCAGCATCCCCGCATGATTATCAGAAAAACCCTCTTCAGACAGAGCGCGTGCGAACGAAACCAAGATGATTCACGCGCTGTGGTTCGAGGGCAGATCTTCTGACGGAGTCTCCAGAATGGGAGGAGTGAGGCTATCCTCGGGTCCGGCCCCCTGTGCGGCAAACATATATAAAACACATGAATCCCACCAGCCGGCTCAGAAGACACACTGAGCTTCACCTGGAGAAGCAGTGCAAGCGTAGAAAACTGAATCAATGCAAGATAAAAAGTCGATTTTAGACATTTTTGATTTTGATTTTTAAAGAGACATTTAGATTTTTGCATCTCTGTGTGTAACATTGAGCATTATTTAAGCAAGCATTAGATCAGAAGAATGGCTCTGCCTGAAGCCGAGTTTGGACTGAAGAGCAGCAGCATCATGAAGGAATGGAGCGGACAGGTTCAGCCGGCTCTCATAGCATCCTTCATCATCCTCTTCTTCCTCGAGGCCTGTCTGTGGGTCCGAAATCTCACGTTCAAGAAGAGGCTTCCCGGGCCGTTCGCCTGGCCTTTAGTGGGCAACGCCATGCAGCTCGGCCAGATGCCCCACATCACCTTCTCAAAGCTGGCCAAGAAGTACGGAAACGTGTACCAGATCCGACTCGGTCGCAACGACATCGTGGTTCTGAACGGAGACGTGGCGATACGGGAGGCGTTGCTTCAACACAGCACTGAGTTCGCCGGACGGCCCAATTTTCTGTCCTTCCGGATGATTTCCGGTGGCCGGAGCTTGACGTTCAACAATTACAGCAAACAGTGGAAGATGCACCGTAAAGTGGCTCAGTCGACTCTGAGAGCGTTCTCATTAGCGAACACTCAAACTAAAAGAACGTTTGAGCAACATGTCGTGGGTGAGGCGTTGGATCTGGTCCAGATGTTTCTGAGACTCAGCGCTGACGGACGACACTTCAATCCCGCGCACGAGTTCACCGTCGCCGCCGCTAACGTCATCTGTGCGCTTTGCTTTGGGAAGCGCTACGGTCACGACGACCCTGAGTTCAGGACTCTCCTGAAACGTGTGGATAAGTTCGGAGAGACGGTCGGCGCCGGGAGCCTCGTGGACGTCATGCCTTGGCTTCAGTCGTTCCCGAATCCCGTGAGAAGAGTCTATCAGAACTTCAAGATCATTAATGAAGAGTTCTTTGCTTACGTGAAGGATAAAGTGGTCCAGCATCGAGACACGTATGATCCCGACGTGACCCGTGACATGAGCGACGCCATCATCGGTGTGATCGAACACGGGAATGACAGCACCCTGAGCAAAGAGTTCGTTGAGGCTACGGTCACTGATCTAATCGGGGCGGGACAAGACACGATGTCAACAATAATGCAATGGATCGTCCTGCTTTTAGTCAAACACCCATCAATCCAAAGCAAACTCCAAGAGCAGATTGATAAAGTAGTGGGTCGTGATAGACTGCCTTCAATAGAAGACAGGAGCAACCTCGCATACCTGGACGCTTTCATCTACGAAACCATGCGCTTCACGAGCTTCGTCCCCGTCACCATCCCACACTCCACCACCTCAGACGTCTCCATCGAAGGCCTCCACATCCCGAAAGACACCGTGGTGTTCATCAACCAGTGGTCCGTCAACCACGACCCTCAGAAGTGGAGCGATCCTCACATCTTCAACCCGGCGAGATTCCTGGACGAGAGCGGAGCGCTGGATAAAGACCTGACCAACAGCGTGATGATCTTCTCCATCGGGAAGAGAAGATGCATTGGAGACCAGATCGCAAAAGTGGAGGTTTTCCTGTTCTCGGCGATCTTGTTGCACCAGTGCTGGTTTGAGAAAAACCCTTCTCAGGATCTGTCCATGGACTGCTCGTACGGTTTAACACTGAAGCCGCTGCGTTACACGATCTCAGCGAAGCTCCGAGGAAAACTGTTCGGCTTGGTTTCGCCGGCATGAGTTAAAACAACCAGCTTGATCTTGTGACTAAAGGCCAGAAAAGACTCAACATAATGCAAATGTATTCCACATAACAATGAGTATAAGTAAAGCTGCACTGAATGCTGTCTAATAATTGCATATTTAATATTTAATGAATATTTACACAGTGATTCAATGAATTGATTTAATCACATGCATATAGAAAGATTCTTCAAATCAGCTAAATGTTTGGGTGACACTTTACAATAAGGTTCATTAGTGAACTACCTTACTTAACATGAACAAAACATCTACAGCGTTTATTAATCTTAGTTAATATTAACTTCAGCATTTACTAATACATTATTAAAATCAAAGGTTGTATTTGTTAACATTAGTTAATGCACTATGCACAATGAACAGCTGTATTTTAGATTAATAAACACTGTAAGAAATGCATTGCTCATCGTTAGTCCATGTTAGTTAATGCATTAATTAATGAAAACTTATTGTAAAGTGTTACCAATGTTTATATAAATCATCAATGCTTCAAAAGAATGTTTTGCAGATCACAATATGAGATGTTTATGGTCGAATGCTAAGCCATTGTCACTGTAGACACATCAATTGAAAAATGCTGGGTTGTTTCAACCCAAATGTGGGTCAAATATGGACAAACCCAAATGTTGGGTTAAAAATGTAATTTAAAATTTTAACCCAACTTCAACTTTCACTTTCAACTGTAAATTTTTTAATTACATTTTTAACCCAACGGCTGGGTTTGTCCATATTTGACCCAAATTTGGGTTGAAACAACCCAGCATTTTTTAGAGTGTATGCAATGTTATGCAATTGTTTGTATTGAGTCATTAATAGCAGCTGTTACTTCCTATGAACTTGACTCAGATTTGGCATAGCAGTGCATTTAATTATAAAACTGTATAACGATGTGATTGTGTACTTCAGGTATTTTAAGTATTAGGCATTTACGCATTTATTTATACCCATTATACTGTTTCTATAAGTTATATTCTCTATAAAATGCACAGCAATTTATTCATTGAGATTCTTAAAAGGGCTGACATTGCAGTAGCTTTAGTTTGCAATCGATGCTTTGCCGAGTCTTGATGTTGCTCAGCATTTCACCAATGAAAGACTTCAGTCTCACGCTGGATCCACTTCCTCATTATGTCATTTTGAAGGTTCTCTCACATGCACAAATAATAAATCCTCTCAAAGCATGTACAAAAACAGGAGCATGTATCAGATATTCCTATATTACACTGCGTATATTGAGGTAAATGTTCACACTGAATGGCTCTGTAACTGAAGTGCATGTGTTCAGGAATGCAGCTTTTTGAAGAAAAACTACAATGTCCAGGTGTTGTTTTCTTTTTACTATTGGAAAATAAGCTACGAGTGGAATAAATAAAGTGCTGTTTTATTACCTGTGAAGATGCACTCATTCTGTCTCTTTCTGTTATGATGCTCAAAACGATTCACATTTCACAAGAGAACACATGCATTCATACATACAAATAAACATGCAAGTAAAAAAATAAATCATGCATATCAAACCAAACTAGAAACGCATCTAAATGACAGTTTTATTATTTGAACTGTCTGCATCTGTCTTCACTTATGCATAATGTCTCTGTATTTCCGTATTGGCCAATATTTCTGTTTACACTCAGTTTCTGAGATATTTCTGTTAAACCACATCTTTAAAGCCAAATTATCTTATTAAATTTATATAACAGTCATTACTCTAACTGCAGCGCACTCTACTTTGGTACATATTTAACTCCATTGTTTGTATCTGTTCTTTTTCTGAGGCATTAAAAAACCCTCAAATGTTCATGAGTTTCAGACTGAGTTCCTCTAGTGACTCGACTTCACTGGTATTCGGCTGGCATCGCATCACGGATTACAATCAAAACGAAAGCCCAGCAATTAGAGCAGACTTACAGCTCATTTACTATGTTAGACAATGTATTCAGTAAAAAAGAAGAAGCATTTTTTGGTTTTATTCGTCTTAATCAGACATTTCTGTACTTTACAACAAGACAAATAAAAAATGATCTCTTAAAAAATATATAGAAAGCAACAACATCATTAAACGAAGGTCCACGTCCAGTTGGCATGAATATATGCAATTCTCTTACTCTGTCAAGTGTGTATTTGTATACACAGACACACACACACACACACACGCACGCACACACACACACACACGCACACACACACTTACTCACACAGACACACATTCACACACGCACGCACACACACTTACTCACACACACAGACAGACACACATTCACGCACACAGACACACTCACTCACACACACAGACACACTCTCTCTCACACACACACACACACATGCACACACACACACACACACACACACTCACACACTTACTCACAGACACAGACACACACTTACGCACACAGACACACACACAGAGACGCACACACACTCACACACACACACACACACACACACACACTCTCTCTCTCACACACACACACAAACACACTTACTCACACACAGACACACACTTACGCACACACACACACACACACACACACAAACAAACACACTTACTCACACAAAGACACACACTTACGCACAAAGACACACACACAGAGACGCACACACATTCACGCACACACACACACTTACACACACAGATACACATTCACGCACACAGACACACACACACACACACACACTTACGCACACAGACACACACACAGAGACGCACACACACTCACACACACACACACACACACACACACTCTCTCTCTCTCACACACACACACAAACACACTTACTCACACACAGACACACACTTACGCACACACACACACACACACACACACAAACAAACACACTTACTCACACAAAGACACACACTTACGCACAAAGACACACACACAGAGACGCACACACATTCACGCACACACACACACTTACACACACAGATACACATTCACGCACACAGACACACACACACACACACACACTTACGCACAGAGACGCACACACACACTGCACACACACACACACACACACACTCAGACACACACTCACGCACACACATACTCTCTCGCACACACACACACACACACACTCAGACACACACTAACGCACAAACACACTCTCTCGCACACACACACACACAGACACACACTAACGCACACACACACTCTCTCGCACACACACACAGACACACACTAACGCACACACACACTCTCTCGCACACACACACACACACACACTAACGCACACACACTCTCTCACGCAGACACACACACACACACACTCTCTCGCACACACACACACACACACTCAGACACACACTAACGCACAAACACACTCTCTTGCACACACACACACACAGACACACACTAACGCACAAACACACTCTCTCGCACACACACACACACTAACGCACACACACTCTCTCACGCAGACACACACACACACACTCTCTCACGCAGACACACACACACTCTCTCACGCAGACACACACACACTCACACAGACTGCCCCAAAATGAATTTAGACAATATTAGATAGAAAATATCAAAGCAAGTGTCTGTATCTGTGTCTCAAACACTGCAGGATCGTTTCTTTTCACCAATGTTCACTTTTCTTCAGCATGTTTAAAGTCTCATGTGTTTGAATTGGTGTTTTGCTGATATTCAGTGGATGTTTGACCTTTGAAGTGATTTCTCCTCAAGTTCACAAAGATAAGACTATCAACATCATCCACTGATGACAATCAAACACAACACTGACTGATTAATGGCGATACTGTCTTCAGTCGAGCTGCTTATAGATGATCTGAACTCGTTTCACAACTGATGAACTCTGACAGAGAATCAAAACAACAAATTGAGTTTTAGCTAAATTTAATTTGTTTCCTAATTGATCAATTTCACAACATTCACGTTATCATTTTCCCGTTTTATTAAAGCTAAGCTGCTTTGAAACAATCAGCATTGTATTATCAGTTTAAACTTCACACATGTATTTTTAATGTACTGCAAAAGTCTCCTTTGAAATTATGTTATCTAATGTCCAATATACACTGAAGGCCTCTGTTTGAAATAGCTTTTAATCAATGACACAGTGGCATGTTATCTGTTTTATTGTCTGTAATTTGTTTTTATTGTGTTTATGTTTATGTACAGCACATTGGTCAACAGTTGTTGTTTTAACCCTAGTAAAAAATAAATATACTAAAATGTATTTGAAATACATTTATTTCATGCCAAGTATACTACTAATACATTTGCATATTTATGTACTCAATAAAAACACCCTGTAATTGTACGTTTAGTATACTAAACTGGTATACTTAAAGTCTGCTAAAGTATTTTGCACTTTAATTGTGCGGAAATAGTGCTAAAGATATTTGATTGTGCTAAAGTGGAACTATTGCAAGTATACTTCAGGTACACTTCAAATATCTTGCATTTAAAGGTTAATATTACTCAAAGTTCATACAATTCTTATCACACGCTTAACAACACTGGGTTGTTTTAACCCAAATTTGGGTCAAATATGGACAAACCCAAATGTTGGGTTAAAAATGTAATTTAAAATTTTAACCCAACTTCAATTTTTAACCCAACATTTGGGTTTGTCCATATTTGACCCAAATTTGGGTTGAAACAACCCAGCATTTTTTAGAGTGCAATATTGACATTTAATATTAAGAAATGACTTCAAGTAGTATTTTTATCTACTTGTAGTCTCAAGTCTCAAGCGATATGTCAGTAAATATGTTAATATATTGGAACTATAAATAAATGTATTTTAAATGTATTGCTTTTTTACTAGGGTTTATAAATAAAGGGACGTTGACATTGGCATGCATGATATGCGAGTGTTATACATCTGTAGATGTGTGTGTCCAGGCGTTTGACTCTGGCTGTAATGGGAGGAGAGTCCGAGAGAGTCGGGGGGAAAGAAAACAAACCTGTGGCCCAAACTCCTCCTACTCTAGAGATATATAACAGTGTCAAGACTGAAATCTGCATTCTTCTAATTTGCTCATCTCTGGAAAGACATTGCAGCTCCGCAAAAACCCTGACCCGTCTCCCTGTAACCCAACAGCAGGTTCTCAAATTCCCAAAACCCTCGCCATTCAAGATGGAGAGCTACTAATATAGTTTACACAGAAGAGCTTGGGAATATCATGGCGCCGTCAGACACAGAGTTCGGGATGAAGGGCGTCCTTAAGGAATGGAGTGGGCAAATCCAACCGGCCCTCGTCGCTTCGTTCGTCTTCCTCTGCTGTGTGGAGGCTTGTTTTTGGGTCAGGAATCTCACTCTGAAAAAGAGGCTTCCCGGGCCGTTCGCTTGGCCTTTAGTGGGCAACGCCATGCAACTCGGACGAATGCCTCACATCACCTTCTCAAACTTGGCGAAGAAGTACGGAAACGTGTACCAGATCCGACTGGGAAGCAGCGACATCGTGGTTCTGAACGGAGACGTGGCGATACGGGAGGCGTTGCTTCAACACAGCACTGAGTTCGCCGGACGGCCCAATTTCGTGTCTTTCCAGTCGGTTTCGGGCGGGACTAGCATGACGTTCACTAGCTACAGCAAACAATGGAAGATGCACCGTAAGATCGCGCAGTCCACCATTCGTGCCTTTTCTTCTGCGAACAGCCAAACGAAAAAGTCCTTCGAGAAGCACATCGCAGCGGAGGCCGAGGACATGATCGAAACGTTCCTGAGCTTGAGCTCAAACGAGCGATACTTCAATCCGTCTCATGAACTCACAGTCGCGGCGGCTAACGTCATCTGCGCTCTTTGCTTTGGGAAACGCTACGGACACGACGACCAAGAGTTCAGGACTCTTTTGGGGAAAGTGAGCAAGTTTGGAGAAACCGTAGGAGCTGGAAGTCTAGTGGACGTAATGCCGTGGTTGCAGGCTTTTCCCAACCCAGTCAGGAGTGTTTTCCAGAGCTTCAAAACCCTTAACGACGACTTCTTCGCGTTTGTTAAAGGGAAAGTGGTGGAGCACCGGGAAAGCTACGATCCTGAGATCACGAGAGACATGAGTGACGCTTTCATTGGCGTGATTGATCATGCAGACACGGAAACGGGTTTGACCGAAGCTCACACTGAAGGAACGGTTTCTGATCTCATCGGAGCCGGACTAGACACGGTTTCTACCGCCTTGAACTGGATGCTTCTACTACTGGTCAAACACCCATCAATCCAAAGCAAACTCCAAGAGCAGATTGATAAAGTAGTGGGTCGTGATAGACTGCCTTCAATAGAAGACAGGAGCAACCTCGCATACCTGGACGCTTTCATCTACGAAACCATGCGCTTCACGAGCTTCGTCCCCGTCACCATCCCACACTCCACCACCTCAGACGTCTCCATCGAAGGCCTCCACATCCCGAAAGACACCGTGGTGTTCATCAACCAGTGGTCCGTCAACCACGACCCTCAGAAGTGGAGCGATCCTCACGTCTTCAACCCGGCGAGATTCCTGGACGAGAGCGGAGCGCTGGATAAAGACCTGACCAACAGCGTGATGATCTTCTCCATCGGGAAGAGGAGATGCATTGGAGACCAGATCGCAAAAGTGGAGGTTTTCCTGATCGCTGCCATGTTGCTCCACCGACTGACTTTCACGAGCGACCCATCACAGGACTTGAGTTTAAACTGCTCTTATGGTTTAACACTGAAGCCATTTGATTATAAAATCTCAGCCAGATTCAGAGGACGCGCATTCAGTGGAGCATAAATGAGTGTGTGTGCTTTTCAAACCCACAGTCTCTGATATAATACATGCAGAATCAGGTTTGTGCTTCATATTTAACATGTTCTAAAAGCAATTTTAGATTATAAATACACTTAACTATATACTTCACTTAAAGACTCAATCTATATACTTCACATTTAGACTCAATCTAAATGTTTTGAAAGCAAAAGGGGAAAAAAACCATCAGGGTTTTATAGTTCTTCAGTGTTTGTACAGAGGTGTGCACTAAAACTCATTAGTGCTACCATTGAAAACACTCTTGAACATTAAAAACTACATAAAAGTATTTTTTCAAGCTGCAAAGAAAACCAAATGTGTGTGTGTGAGTGTATATATACACTGTAAAAAATTATCGTGATTTTAACGGTAAAAGACTACAGTGAAAAGCTGTTAATAGGTTAACAGAAAGTTTCCTTACTATATAAGGTAAATAACGGTACATTTAATGTACTTTTACTGTAAAATACCGTTAAATTGACAGTTTTTGAAAGTGGAAAAGAACAACTCGTATAATTTACAGTGAAAAACCGTAAATTGACATTCCCACAATTCCCTGCGTGACACTTCACATTTGATGTATTTTTGTTGAAATAACTATGTTTCTTCTTAGTTTTCTTAGTTCTTTTCTTATCAGTTATATACATTACAGTTTTATGTTACATTTAATGTTGTTAAATGAATGTTTATTGCATTTTTAAAATTTCATGTGTTACCATTACCTGTTTAGTGTTTGTGCGAATGACACTGTGCAGCTACTATATATTAGTACTAACTTTCTCGTGGAAGAGCTGCTTGTGATGAGCTGTGATTTATCATGTGATTTTCATCACTGCTGAGATGATTGTTGGTTGTCAGTGTATTACAATGGTACAAAACAGATATTAATACATAAATAGGTTGGTAAATTAACATTATATCAGATGATGAAATACGGTTTATTACTGTAAATTTTAAGTTAAGTCTGTAAAACCAATAACGTCTGTACCATATTTTTGACGGTAAAGTTCTGGCAACCACACCTGCCGGTATTTTACCGTAAAAATGGCATTTTATTTTTTACAGTGTATACATATTAAAAGAGCAATCAAATTGTAATGTTTTTACCAAATATGCAAAGGTAAAACAAAAAAAGCCATGTTTAATACCGATTTAAAGTTAAAATCAGATTGAAAGTTCTACATAAACCTGTAACTTTTATCAAAATGCTGCATTTCTTTTCAGAAATGTGACTTAAAAATCCTTTTTATCATTGTAAATAAAATGCTCTGTTGACTCTAACTTTGTGTATTTCATTACATTGAATATTTCCATTCATGCTTGCTAGGTTGCTCCAAAACAGTCATCCTTTGCCAGAAATGGAAGTTTGCTGTTCTTACAAAAACACACATATTAATAAAACACAGTTTGTAGAGCATGTAAATTAGAAGTCTAAATGCATTTGCTAATTTACTTTTCCGTAGCAGAGGTGATGCCGTCCAAAAGCATCCAGTGCAGTAACCACATGCATGACCGTGCGAAGCCCACATGCGCGAGTGGAGTCTCAGGGGGAGTCTTACATTTACACTGGGTAATTCATAGCAGACACACACTGCTTTCCTCTCTCTCTTCCGGTCCTGACACCGCAGCGTTCTGGACCAGGGCCAGGGCTGTTATGGGCCATGCAGGGAACCACATACATGCCCCTGATTTACTGCCAACCACACACGCAATCGCAGTCGCACGGGACATGTCTTTCTGATAAACCTCTTTCTTCAGGACGGCCCCTTCAGCGGCCTCTGGGTCTGCCGAGGGTTCAGTCTCTCCGAAACATCACATGTTTTCACCTCTGTTTTGACCTCGCGCACATCTCACGGAAACACGGCATGGTCATAGCGCTTTTCACAACACACATCATTTCAAAGCAGCTTTACAGAAAGTGCATGAGTCCACATTACAGTTTACCGTGATCTGTTATCAGGGGACACTGTCATTTCAGAAATGCACAAATTAGTTAAAAATGTATTAATGTAAACAGTGTAATAATTTAAGGCAGAAGCAACGAGATCATTGAAATGATTGAAATCTTTCTTTATTTCACCTCAAAATGGTAACACTTTACAACAAGGTTCATTAGTTAATGCATTAAATAACATGAACTAACGATACTGTATTTATTAATCTTTGTTAATGTTAGTTAATAAAAATACAGCTGTTCATTGTGTGTTCATGTTAGTGCATTAACTAATGTTAACAAATACAACCTTTGATTTTAATAATGTATTAGTAAATGTTGAAATCAAAATAACTCAAATTAATAAATGCTGATGAAGTATTGTTCATTCTTAGTCCATAAACCTTATTTTAAAGTGTTAACCTCAACAAAAAAAGAAATTCACGACAGTTACAGCTGGACAGTTTATATTTGTCATTATTGTTGTTGGTGATTGTATGGAAGCGTGTTTCCATCATGGAATAAAAAAGAAAAAAGGTAATTGTGATTTCCTTACAATTGAGAGTATCTGAGAAAAAAGATGTAAACTCACAATTCTGACTTTTTTTCTCTCACAATTGCAAGTTTATATATTTCTTCCCCCCCTCAGAATGGCAAGATATAAACCGGCAATTGTCAGAGAAAAAGTCGCAATTACCTTTTTTTATTTTTTTATTCCATGGCGAAAACAATCGCTTCCATATTGTATCGTTTCCACCATGGAATAAAAAATAAAAAAGGTAATTGCAACTTATTTTTTGCAATTGCAAGTTTATATCTTGCAATTCTGACTTTTTTCCTCATTATTGCAAGATATAAACTCGCCATTGCAAGAAAAAAAATTCGCGATTACCTTTTTTATTATTTTTTTATTCAATGCCGGAAACAAGCTTCCATATGATTGTCCATATGTGCAATTCAAAAGAAAATAAATGCATTAAGGTAATTTTTATTTAAACCAGTGGACATCTAAGGCAGTGCAACATTTACTATCATGATGTAAATAATGTTTTGGGGTTAAATGTGACATTTCATGAGATTCACTTTACTCCCAGCAGTGACATTAATCTAGTGTTGTGTTTTGGACAGAAGTACACTGAAAACACTGATGTCTTAAACCATTAATCAAAGAACACATCTGCTTATTTAGACACACAACTTTGTGTCCCATCATTCTCTGACTGCACAAGAATGATAAAATACAGAAATGCATGCCTAGTACACAAACTTTGGTCTTAATTTTGTTACACTAGAAACATGAAATGTACCACACATCCAGAATAATCCGTCCAAAATCTGGTAATCGTCGCATCTTAATTAAAATTTCTGAACTCATAAGTAGGAGAACTTTAAGGCACAAGCCTGGAAGTCATCTTTGGTAGTGCGAACCAACGCCAGTCACGCAAACGGTTGCCAAAAACAGCAGGAACACGGTGCCAGAACGCAGTGACTCAACACTTCTGTGCTGAGAGTTATCACACGTTCATGTTGCCCTAAATCACTCGGTCTGCTTACAGATGGTGAGGCAATTCCCACGGGAAGTGGCTTTTGGACCTGAAGTGAAGTCCAAGAGATTTTAGCCAATGAGTCTGACAACTTAATAGATAGATGTGCTATAGTACCTATTATATTGCAGCTGCAGGAGGCAGATAAACCAGCTTTCTGGGAAATGAACACATCGGCGTTTTAGAGTTTTCCTGATTTAGAAAGCCAAAATACACACGTATATATACAGTCAAACCAGAGCAGAGATGGTGCAAGGGTGAACATTAGATCATTACTGGTGCTTGTTAAGTCAATCATCACTAGTAATAGGCCTATACTCAGTGATGTGATCAAACCTCAAACACTAAGTGTATATTGAACAAAAAAATGTTTTCTTGTTTACAGCAAAAACTGAATTTTTCAAAGAACAAGACATAAAACGGTCATGACATGGATTTTCTTTTCTTTTTTTTTACTATTTTTATGTGTTTTTTTGAGGTTCACTAAGAATGTTTGCACAAAAAAATAATATATATATATATAAATATACAGATGAAACTCGAAAAATCTGAATATCGTGCCAAAGATATTATAACAAATAAAGGCTTGAAATATCTCACTTTGCATGTAATGAGTCTATATAATATATTAGTTTCACCTTTTTAAGTTGAATTACTGAAATACATGAACTTTTGCACGATATTCTAATTTTTCGAGTTTCACCTGTATATATATATATATATATATATATATATATATATATATATATATATATATATAAATGCAGTTTTTTTTGTTTGTTTTTTAACCCTTGTTCATTATTAAGGACTAGTTAGTAAACACCACTGTCATGATTGGTTAACATCATTGCACAGGAAACATTATCAAGTGTTGTGAAAACATTATCCATAAAAAAACTGGCATTTACAGACAAAGGATTTTGAAATGATTAACTTTTTTGTTAAGGTTTATTTGCGAACTCTCCATTGCCTCAGTCAAATGCTCCGAACAAACATATAATCATGCGACACGATCCAGGACGCCATTAAAATAAACCATCCACTTGTTTTGATCCTTCTGAAGTCTGTACAGAGACAAACAACAGCTGTTTAAACTACAGGTGAAACACGAAAAATTAGAATATCGTGCAAAAGTTCAGTAATTCAACTTAAAAGGTGAAACTAATATATTATATAGACTCATTACATGCAAAGTGAGATATTTCAAGCCTTTATTTGTTATAATTCTGATGATTATGGCTTATGAAAACCCAAATTCAAAATTAGAATATTGTGAAAAGGTTTTCATAAGCCATAATCATCAAAATTATAACAAATAAAGGCTTGAAATATCTCACTTTGCATGTAATGAGTCTATATAATATATTAGTTTCACCTTAAGTTGAAGAATTACTGAAATAAATGAACTTTTGCACCATATTCTAATTTTTCGAGTTTCATCTGTACACGTGTTATTTTAATGCCATCTCAGTGTGGAAGGAAGGCAAAAATGTAGAGAAAAAGATACGTTTCAAATGTATCCGGATTAATGTGAATGTGTCTTGAGATAATGTAATGAGGCACCCCCAAAAAAAAAAAATCTAAATCCAGTTATCCAGTTGATAGCA